AATCTTGTTAAAATATATATTCGCACTTTTCAACTGTAGGGTTGAAAGCATGACTTTATGGCCCCTTCAAAAAATTAAATATTTCCCTGATAATTAAGATTTCTTATTTCTTCCCTGTCCCTATACTGACGGGGCTTTGTCTTTAACCTGCTTTATATATAGCTCTTATAGTGGAGACTTATGAACTCAGCAGTCAATTTGGTACCTTCAATGATTTTTATGACTTCTCGCTAGTATGTCGGTTAGTATGTTTTAAAGAGGGAAAATCAAGGGAGTGGAAAGAGAGATCGAGTGATTTTTGAGGCTAGAAACACCTGTAGAGCATCAGCTGAAAGTATTTTATCCTATACCTTGTTTGAGTCGAAGGCTTACAAAGTGCTCCTCGTGAATGTGACCAGCCACAAGTGGATATGGTTTGATAACACTGGGATAATTCGGAGTAATCATAAAGTCATAGCCAAGACTGCTGATCACACGAATACAGGTCTTATAGAAATTTGCTGCGGCGTACAGGATCACGTGATCGCCCAAGGTGCCATCTTTCTCCATGCTTCTCAGGTAATCAGACCATGATGGATATCCGTGGACAAAGTTGAACAGCTCTGTTTCATCAGGCTTTGATAAGGGGAAAATTGGAAGATTAATAGAATGTACTAAATAATAAATAAATAAATAAATAAATAAATAAAGAAATAAAGAAATAATAAATAATTTAGCAATGGACATTCCGCTGGGTGGAAAACCCTCGGACCCGGAGAAAAACCTTTGGAGCAAGGACGAGAACCAACAATAAACTAAACCCACATGTGATAAACGCCAGGTCCGGGAATCGAACCCAGGCCACAGTGGTGGGAGGCGAGTGCTTTCGCCACTTCGCCATCCTGCTCCCCCACTAAAAATCGCCATCGGTCACTGAATATTTTAAGAGGTGTGGACAGTATACCATTTGGGTGAAAAGAAAAAGACAGGAGTTTTGCAATATGATTTAAAGTAAACCTTGAGCGTTCTTTTCATTTGACAAACATTTCCTGTGATATCGTGCCGAAGTTGCCAGTAAACTCAAATCATTCAAACATTCTCATTGAGTTAAGTACCAAGGATCAGGGGTCTTACCAGTTTAGGAAAGTTTTCGAGGAACTGAACTAAGTCCCTCCGTATTTCCTTGTGTGAGATGTTGATTTCTCTCACGCTTTGCAGTTGTTGCGACAATGCAAAGAATATACAGTTTCCAGATGCTGAATTGTCACAAATGACAAATCCTTTATCTACAATATTCTTCTGCAAATCCCGCAATAGTTCACTTTCCTCGCGCGTTTGTTGTCTTGAACTCAATTGTTGCAGATGTA